TTGGTCGGAAAATCTTAGGTCAGAAAACATTCAAGCTTTTTGTCTTGATGAAAAAAAAACCATTTAAGACAACATGCATAACCTTATCTTCCTGAAAAAATTAAAATAATTGTCTTAAAACGACCTTTTCTATTAAAAAACGATCTTTTTTAAGAAAACGATAGTATTTAAAAATGATTTTTTGTTTTTAAAAGTTCAAAAGAAGTGGTTCGTTTTCAAAAACACATTAATTGCATCATCTCCATTGCTATCAAGTTTCTTATTCAATCGATCGATCTCTCTTATTAAGGGGCTTTCATTTTTCCAATCAATTACCCTTGATTCTTGTAACTCTAAATCTAAAATTGTTTTTAAGTTTTAATTTTCGAAAGTCCCCCGATCTTTATAAAATTTGATATGAAAATTAATTATCTTATGTTCATGAAATAATGTTTAGATTTCCTCCGATATGTTGCTATAGGTCGGGGGGGGGAACAGTAAAAACAATAAATAACCCCCATATCCCCCAATTTAGAGACCATTTGTATAATTGGGGGTATTTTGACAGGTTTTAGAATATATCAGTACGCAGTAGGAATATATTAAAGTTGAATGGGTTGGATCTGAATTGAATCCAGATTTTAAAATCCATGAACTGGCTTCATCGTTTTTTCTTTCTTTGATAAAGTCGTCTTCATTTTTGCTCAAATACAGGGAATACAAAAGTACATGTAACATTAGCCTTTCAAGTAAAAATACAATACAATACAATACAATACAATGCAATACAATACAATACAATACAATACAATACAATACAATACAATACAATACAATACAATACAATACAATACAGTACAATACAATACAATACAATACAATACAATACAATACAATACAATACAATACAATACAGTACAATACAATACAATACAATACGATAAAATACAATACAATACAAAACAATACAAATCAATGCAATACAATACAATACAATACAATACAATGCAATACAATACAATACAAATCAATGCAATACAATACAATACAATAAAATACAATACAATACAATACAATACAATACAATACAATACAATACAATACAATACAATACAATACAACACAATAAATACAATACAATACAATACAATACAATACAATACAAGACAATGCAATGCAATACAATACAATACAATACAATGCAATACAATACAATACAATACAATACAATACAATACAATACAATACAATACAATACAATACAATGCAATACAATACAATACAATACAATACAGTACAGTACAATACAATACAATACAATACAATACAATACAATGCAATACAATACAATACAATACAATACAATACAAATCAATGCAATACAATACAATACAATACAATACAATACAATACAAAACAAATCAATGCAATACAATACAATACATAGCAATACAATACAATACAATACAATACAGTACAATACAATACAACACAATACAATACAATACAATACAATAAAAATCAATGCAATACAATACAATACAATAAAATGCAATACAATACAATATAATACAATACAATACAATACAATACAATACAATACAATACAATACAATACAATACAATACAATACAATACAATACAATAAAATCAATGCAATACAATACAATACAATAAAATGCAATACAATACAATATAATACAATACAATACAATACAATACAATACAATACAATACAATACAATACAATACAATACAATACAATACAATACAATAAAATACAATAAAATACAATACAATTCAATACAATACAATACAATACGATACAATATAATACAGTACAATACATACAATACAATACAATATCTTAATAAATATATCGGTGTACCAGCGTATGGTATTATTGATTATATCTGTTTACCGGTCTATGGTTTAATCATGTTGAATTGAATACGGTTTGTAAAGTGGATACAAACATTTTCAACCAGTCTCGGTCCTTAAATGATGTGTTACAAATTTAAATAGGGGATAGGGTTACACCCGGGGGTTGTTGGGGGTTTTACACAATAGGGGTTGAGTGGGGGGGGGGGGTGATGCCAGGCACATGCCCCAACTATAATTAATTTGATCAGAATGAAGGAGGGAATATTTTATACGTTTAACATCAAATTATTCTTTTTTTTCTAATCTATTCTCTGATTCTACATGTTAGGAGATGTGTAAATAATCGGATTTGAATTTGAATTTAAGCTATTTAAAGTTTCTAGATTTGCCGTTACATATTTATTATTACTTTAATTTAAACGACAAAAATATTTGTTACCCTTAAATTTTTACTCGTTAACGGTTTTAAATGCAGGCCTGTCTGAAAATCAAACTAGTAAACGGGTTTCAAAAGAAAACTGGAAAAGTGTCCATGTCCATGTTTGAACTGAATATTTGTTGTCACTATTAGTGATGCATCACGTACAGGGTGTCCCACGGAACATGAATTGGTGAATAGTTTTAAATGTCTTCTTCCATGTACTGTATTATATATTCTAGACTTTTTGCAGTTTATTTCGTTTCAAAGATCTGGTACCTAAATATATTTTACTTTGAAATCCATTTTACTATAATATTTGTTATCATTCTCTTTCGTATTAAACAACAAAACAAATTATGGAAAAAGACTTTTAAACTATTCGCCAACTGTCTTGTTTGGTCGGACACCCTGTACGTTAAACTAAAGTAAATTGCACGTTTAATTAAAGGGAGTGACCGGCTATGAAACATATTTTATTATTTTAAAAATATACATCTTAAAAATGTCTAATTGGTATTAAATGAATCCTAAAGTATTTCTCTACAATTCTGCACATTCAGCTCAACTACCATGTCTAACCTGTCTCTCCATTTAAAGTTTTCAATCATAATGCCTTTTATAAAAGAGCTCTTATGATGAACGAAAAAGTTTTAAATTTATATTAAATATTCGAATGAATCTTTTTCTTCTCATAACTATGCGTAAACTAGAGGAGCTAAAAGGCCACAAAGTCACATGATTTCTACCTTCTCATCCTGTCTGGTAGTTAAACTGTGAAATCTTTCATTGTTTTATAAACTATTTGCATCCCGCGCAATATGGAAAAGTTGTCAATTTATAAAATAAACCCGAGAAATTTCCTATTTCCAGTGTATACAAAGAAAATATAAAATTTAACAAGAAGTATCTAATTCACATCAAACGTAAGATTAAAATCTTATGTTTTTATCATAACTCCTCTTATTGAAAAGCTATTGAGAAGAACAAAAATGTTTTGAATTTCTGATATTTTCCCGGATAAATTTGCTTTTCTTAATCTTTTTCATAACAATAACATCAGAACTAGATGAGCAACGGAGTCAAAAAGTCGTAACAGTTAAGTCAATTGAATCTGACCGTCTTCTTTTTGTTTTATTTTATAAAATATATATTATTACTGACGAAAAAAAAAATCAAACATAAAAAAGAATTTTCCGTTATTAAATAAAAGCTTTTTTAAAGGCAAATTTATTGTTCTTGTACCAAATCACTATTGCCTGTAACACGAATTTATCCAAGAAGATAATATAATGTGAAATTTAAATTTAAATCATTTGCTACAATTTATTCATCACAGCCCTTTTAATTCAACAGTATTTTGATCATTATTAATCAGAATTTGAAATTTTTACATAAAAAAGCAGAAGAATATCAGCGAAGATTGTCGCCATTATAGTGTTCAGAATGTGTTGCGGCAATACGTACCGCAGCTCAATCTTTCAGCAGTTTGCTGCCCAAGTGAAGGCAAGCCAGCCACTACAATTTCTCGTCCAAGCCACATACTCCTCATTTTCTCGTACGAGTCACATACTCCTCATTTTCTCGTCCGAGCCACATACTCCTAATTTTCTCGTCCGAGCCACATACTCCTAATTTTCTCGTCCGAGCCACATACTCCACATTTTCTCGTCCGGCACACCTCAAAATGCTCGTACTTAGATAGAGATGCTTATTTGTAGAACATCTTTTACAAAGCATATTAGTTTTTTTCACAAATGTAAAGTTTGTTTGGTAAAATTTAATGTACTATTTTTGTCCTAACATGGCCAGATTTTCCAGAAAATATTTTTATCTGTAAGGTTTGGACATTTAAAACATATAGTATTGAATGGACTAGGTTTTTGAGGTGGCTAGGACGAGAAAATGAGGAGAATGTGGCTCGGACTCGAAATTGTTGTGGTTGGTCGTCCTCCCCTCACTGATCTGAACTACAACTACTTCTTCATTGCAATCCATTAAAAGAAGGATATGTTCAGAGTTTCTTGCGAGAAAGTGTTGTCAAATATTCGATTTTAAACATTATTAAATCAACGCAGTATTTCCGCCCGTTAAAGGTAAATTTCTTTCTAAGGGTTCTCTGATTTAAAAATGATGATTTATTTTTCTATAAGAGAGTTCCCATTCAGTACAGGATATACTTCATAAAGTACGTTGCACAATATTCCTAGTAAACGAAGAAAAAGTTGATCTCTAAGGCAGTACAGTAAATCTTGTGTGAGAAGTTTTTCTTTTCTTTGATAAAAGTTGATTTTTTTATTTTGCAAAATAATTAAAGAATTTACCAGCATTTTTTGAAATCAAAGGAGGATCACATGTAAACAAAGATATGCAATCATTCATGCTTCGATATCTATCTATCTATCTATAGAAATATCTATCTATCTATCTATCTATCTATCTATCTATATATCTATTTATCTATCTATCTATCTATCTATCTATCTATCTATCTATCTATCTATCTATCTATCTATCTATCTATCTATCTATCTATCTATCTATCTATCTCTCTATCTATCTATCTATCTATCTATCTATCTCTCTATCTATCTATCTATCTCTCTATCTCTCTATCTCTCTATCTCTCTATCTCTCTATCTATCTATCTATCTCTCTATCTATCTATCTATCTATTTATTCATAATAATTCTATACGGCCTCCGTTTCTAACAGTAACCTCCAAACCTCAATGGAATAACACTCTGTGCAAAAACTTAGGAAAGGCTTTTCAACTTTTTATCAAAAACATTAAAAACACAATTTTTGAAAAAATATTTGAACATCATACAATGTTAAAATTGATAAAATAAAAAACAAACATAATTTTAAAAACATGTCAAGACTGTCTGGAAACCATTGAAAATGAATTGTGTAAAATTGATAAAAGTTAGAAAGCCAACTGTAAATAAAACCAGGTGAACAGTTTCCGTCCAAAATGAACTTTTTAGAGAATCATTTACAAATATTCGTTGTTTTAATTACACTCAGCTCAACATTTACGGATTTCTCACAAGCTACTCCTGTAACTAAGGTGAATCATTCGTGTAAATAAAACTTTTTGTGGTTTTCTCTTGTTTCTACTTTTTGTTTAATTGATTACAGTTGTAAAAACACCTTTATTACACTGAAGAAAAAAGTAAATAAAAAACAATGACACGAAAGTAAACAGAAAAATAATCAGTTAATAATTAGATTTGTTTACCATCACTTTAACCAAAATACAAAAAATCGAATCATAATGAAAATAATGCCGATCGAAGAATAATAGTTTTCCGATAACCTCTTTTCTTTTCGCGAAAACTCTCCATATAGATTATAGCCTTCAATTGTTGATTTCAACTATTTGCACGACTCATAAAAGGGGCTGTAGACGTATTTTAAGTGACCCTTATGTCATAAAGTGGCATGTGCGATTGAAAATATTAACTTTGTAACCTTTTCTGAATGAGCTTTTTTTATTTATCTTGCTGAAAACTGATTTTTATATTGTGGTTTCTTTAACAATTCGACATATGGATGTCAAACATCACACACATTGAAAACGACAGCTTTCCTTGATAATACGCCTGCAGCACCAGCAGCAAGGTTCTAATGCAAGGAAAGTTATTTCAGAGGTGTACGGATATTTTGTACTGCAGTGGACTGTCTTTGGGCGGTAATGTAAACACAAGACGGATGTCGAAGCCTGACGCAGAGTATACGCGACCGCAATAAACTTTCCTTGCAGTAGTACCTTGACCCGCAACAACTTTTATTTGATTCTTTTTTTCCAGGAGGGTTTTCAGTATCAGTCTTTGGAACAAAATGTAAGTTATTTTAATTAGAGTTTAATTAAAACTAATAATATTCCCGTGGGTCTCCAGAGTTCACCTATTAAAATTTGAAGCAAATTGATTACAGCATTAAACATATACTAGCCTGGGAGTTAGAACCCAGTGTTGCTAAGGGTGCTTATAGTTACTCTAGCCGTTTACCCGCACTTGAATGATTTTACTGGGAAACTAAATTTTCGCTATTACAGTCGACCCACTCAACTTAGAATCTTAAAACCGAATTCTAAGAACATTTCAGTTGTTCTCCCGATTTCCCCAATCAAAATTTGAGACAAATCGGTTCAGCGGTTCCTGAGTTATTATCGGACAAACAAACAGATAGACAAACAGAGATTACAACTTTATTTATGTAGATATAGATATCAAAGATAAACACAATAAATACTTCACCCCAATCTAAAGTGCATTGCACATTAAATTGATATCTTTCATGGTTTTAATCATAACTCATACAATTGATGAGTTTTTGAAAAGAACATAAATGTTTTGAATTTCCGGTATGTAATTAATTAATTAATTAATTAATGTAATTATGTAACCGAATAAATGAGATTTTCTCACACTTAATATAAAACTTGAGGAGCTACGAGGTCATAAAGCTGAGCCAGTGACGTGGCATAAATTTTACGTTCTTTCTCTATCTATTTAACAATAAAAATAAATAATAATAATAATAATCATCAAGACCAACCAAAATGTGATTTGTTTTAGGTGTCCCTTGATAGAGTTAAAAGAGAGGTAAAATGCTAAACAGGTTTTACCTTTTAATTAAACACGCTTGAAAATCAGGACTCTTCTCGCCTCATTTCACAAACTGTCCTTAATTTTTTTATTTTTTTTTATTTTTATTTGTTCGTTTTATTTTCTTTTCAATTATTTTAATAATGATTTTTTTCTATCTATCTGTGAGCAATATTGAAAAATAACGAAGAAAATTGCCATGCTTTATTGCCATTTTGTAAAACTCTCGGGTATTTTTACCCCCTGAGTTGCCAACCCTCCCTCCCCCCGCCCCCTACCCCTAATGCCGATAAAGGTTATTTGTCAAATCCAATAGCTTTAACAGGAAATTTTCTTTAATTTTTTTTGAATTTACAAAAATAGTTTTCTTTAACCGAACTAACAATTTGTTTAGAAAAAATTTACATTCAGAAAACCCGAAAATTGCATAATTACAAAAAAATGAATCTACAAAAAATATATTTAGGAATCTACAGAAAGTGGCATGAGTGAGACCCCCGTAACTGAAGCATTAATGGAGGATGATGATGATGTGAAAAAAGGGCCTGGTCTCGGTTTTATTATAGGTCACCAGGCATCAATCTTCAGACTGATATTTTTGAAGACCAACAAATATTATACTTTTACTTGAAATTTTTGTTTGGTGGTATTCTTAATTAATACTGTCGTAAACCCCTGCAACTGTAAACTTTTTTCATCAAATAATCAAATAATCGACAATATTAGAGACAGACAACTTAATTTAACCTTTATGATTAATTTTACAGTTTCATCCCTTGCACGTGGTAAACTATATAATTTCGAAATCTTTTGAAGTGGCATAAAAAAGGTTACCCAGAAAGAATTAGCCTTCAGAGACGATTGTACGGAATTTGTACATATCATGTTTTTGCATTACGGGTTCCTTGTAGGCCGAAACTGGCATATTTCTTTGCTTGACCATTTAGCATATGATCAAATTACTCAATTAAATGCAGAAACAAAAAATAAAGTTTCAAATCATTATATTTTTAGAATTTAGTGTCGTCTTTACAGTCTCATCCTTTGTTTGTAACCCTGTATGAAATGGGAATACAGCATTTTAGCAATCATATGAGTGTATAATTGTTAACCATAAACCTACATCATAACCCCCACCCTCACATCATGTCGTCTTTACCAGCCCCAAATCCAAACCAAACAATTTCCTCCGACTCTAACTCTCTACCTAGACAAAGGGAAACCGAAACAGTGAAACGTTTTACTAAGTGAAAGATCAAATTTATAAATAACTTTGTAATCAATAGTAAATTCCACTTAAAAAATTGGGTTTATATTTTACAAATGTGTTTACAAATGTTTTAAACTATTCCATCAAACCCTCAAATCCTTAATAAATCCTTTTTACTCCGTCACGGAAAACTATAAGCAGCTACAGTGTCTGAGTTAAGAAGCCTAATAGACTCTACAGTCCATCAACCTATTTATCTACCGACTTACAGTCAATCAAGAATTAACGCCCTTCTAAAGTTTTACAATAATATGTTTAAAGGCAAATAGTTTTGCCGGTTGCTATAAAACTTATTACGCGAAATAGGTCTGCAGACATTTAATGTTCTAAAAGACATACCTTGAGACTAACAGTCGTCTCATGGTTGAATGGATCTCACTGTATAAATTGATGATTTTCTATATAATTATTCTTAAATATAAACAATACTTTTTTCTTCAGGAGTTGCTACTCTGATCTGCTTCATTATCTACATAATTGGAATCACATACAAATTAATAAAGATCCATAAGGTATTAATTAATAATACAAATTGACAAAAACTCCTATAATCCAGACTTCTGAGCCTGGTTTCAGGGAGTGATGGGGGGGGGGGGGCCTTAAAAAGTTTTAAAATCGGCAAGGGGCAGTTTTCAGTCCAATAATTTTTTTGAAAGATAGATTCAAAATTAATTTAAAGCCACTAGTCAATGTTAAGCTAAAGTCGACATTTTCTTTCATGGAGAAAAAAAAGTGCAGGCGACACATTACCCTCTCCTCTCCCAATCGTCTTAGGTTTATGAAAACTTGAAAAAAAATATCCAGGGGGGGGGTTAAAAATGTTGTCTCTGTATTTATTTATATTTCAGGGCACATATGTTGAAGAGGAGCCGATATTTCTCAAATATAAATAGTTCACAAGGACAAATTAATATAGATGCATTTATAAAAACACTGGCTGCAGTTCACCATGGTTGTACACTGGTTGTACACTAGTTGTACACTGGTTGTACACTGGTTGTATACTACATAGTTGTACACTGGTTGTAAACATTTTAGCCGCTTTAAATACAGGGTGTCCTACGAAACATGACAATTGGTAAATAATTTGGAAAGTCTTCTTTCCTATGATACTTTAACAGATATTAAACTTTTTGCCTTTATTTCGTTCAATAAAATCTTTTACTAAAATATATTTTACTTTAAAATCAATTTTACTATAATATGACTACCATATTAAAGTAATTCTCTTTGGTATTAAACAACTTAAGTAATTATGGAAGAAAACATTTTAGATTATTCACCAATTGTCATGTTTCGTGGGACACCATGATATATATCAACTGTGCATTAAAAGATTGTACATGCTACACAGCAAGCTTAAGCAATAGGTTAAAGAAATTATCTTAACTCGTGATATAAAAGATCATATTAATGATTGTAATACAATTACAAAATGATGCAACTCTTATGTATTTACTCTCTGAAGGTCAATTCCCATTACTTGTCATTCTTTAACTTTGACTAACCAAAATTTGAACTATGAAGACGACATTTAAATCTGGATTTCCTATTTTTAGAATTTTTCTGTTTTGTTTCAAGGTTTATCGACCTAGTAGGATTTCGTTAAAACAAATAAAAATTCAAAATTTACAATTATAATCTTTTAAAATACTTTTTGATCTTTTGGTGACAACATTTTTTGCAAATAAATTTCCCGCAATTTTCCAGCTTCTATTGATTTTGCAACATTTGATTACACTGCAGAAAACCTTAGCATTATTCGAATACGTCTCTCAATTGTGATAAAATTTATTTAAAAATCTAAAATCTCGTTATACCCAAGTATATTTTGCTTAGGGGCGCGCGTACATATCTATGTGGGAGGCTCTGGGGATAAGCCCCCCCCCCTGAAAAAGCGAAAACTATTTTTCCAAGGGGATTCATCCCCAAACGGGTTGGAACTTGGCTAAGAAATACCCACCACCCTGCACCCCCCCTCTCTACTCCGGAATGTCAAAAATTGTTAACCCCCCCTCCTTCCCCTCCAAATGGGCCCCTGGACAAATTATTGAATACTCCCCTGATTATGCTTTCCGAACTCTAAGTCTGATTCAAGTTGTATTTAAAACTTGAAAGATGTTTTTAAGTTAAAAAGCTGTATTTAAAACTTTTACAAGGAAAATTTCAAATGAATCTCAACACAAACTTTAATTTTAATTCAATTTGCAAAACTAAATGCATAAAAAATGGCAAATAATTTATCCCTGTGCAATTATACCGGTATATGTTTGTTATAAAGTGCAAAATAGCGAAAAACAAAACTTTTTTTTGCAAAATAGCGCTAAAGCACAAAAGCTGAATTTTTCTGTTTTCTCAAACAATATTTTCAAGGCTTTTATACTTCACCGTTTTTGAGCAATGCAATGTAATTGCATGATTCGAATTTTGAAAACGCAATTTGGCGACTAATTATTTGTTTTTGCGAAAAAAATGTAACGCGCAAATGGAAAACTAATTAAATAAAGTCAACGATTGGTTGCTCAAATACACGTTTAACAATCATGTTATAATTTATATTCTATATTTTAAACAGTGAAAATATATAAAATGATGATATGTAGTGCTTTATAAATTTGTTAGGATGAGATACAAAAACAAAACATAAACATTAAAAAGTAGATTAAAAGTAATTTGAAAAGCTAAATTGGGAGAAGAACAACAAGTTTTTATTGCTCATATGCAACAAATAAATTTGTTTTTTTAAACTAAATTATATTGATAATGGGCGTAAAATTAAAACCTTAGGAAGTAAAACGGCTAATTAACAACGAAACCCTAAATAGAAAAAAACTACCAAATGTCATCTTCATGATCCACAATTTTTTGGGTACCATTGTATATTTATCCTTTAATTGCACAAAAAATAGATCGAATGCAATTTAGGATGGTTTCCTCTAGGCCAGTTTCTATAACATCCTAGAAAGGGCACTAGTTTCCGATTTTCACCGCTAGGTGTCTCCTATCTCGAGATAGAGATAGATCAAAGAAGTTAAATCAAGAACAAAATACTAAACAAAAAATATTTTGAATTTGAATATGTAATTATGAAATCTAAAAACATACTGAACAACACCAGGGTAGCTAAAGAAAAAAGATTCGATTCAGGTAGAATTTAAAAAAGATTTTATCCTAAATAAAATAGTTTCTCAACTATGCTATTCATCAGTAGATGGGTGCGCTAGTTACATTTCAGGCAACGTAATTGGCAGTCCATCTATATACCTTGTACTGGGTAAATATAAATATGAACAGTTAAACGTTAAACTATCAGTATCATAGCCTGGATATTATACTGAACAATATTTGTAGCTATAGCTTAATAGCTCTTCAGTTGGACGTCATACCAAATGATGGCATAGAAGCTTTTTATTTCGTATGCTCGTATGCAATCACTTATACTATACTATGAGAAGTATAGTTGTTATCCATCCTGTATAGTGGATATCCGTCCTCCTGTATAGTTGATAACCTTCATCCAGTATAGTGATATCCTTCCTCCAGTATAATTAATATCCTTCCTCCTCTATATTTGGTATACATATAGGAGGAAGAACAACAGCTATACAGGAGAAAGGATATCAACTATACAGGAGGAAGGATATTAACTATACAGGAGGAAGGATATCAACTATACAGAAGTAAGGATATCATCTATACAGGAGGAAGGATATTTACTATACAGGAGCAGGATATAAACTATACAGGAGGAAGGATATCAACTATACAGGAGGAAGGATATTAACTATACAGGAGGAAGGATATTAACTATACAGGAGGAAGGATATCAACTATACAGAAGTAAGGATATCAACTATACAGGAGGAAGGATATTTACTATACAGGAGAAGGATATCAACTATACAGGAGGAAGGATAACTACTATACAGGAGGAAGGATAACAACTCCACCTGAGGAAGGAAGGATTTAAACTATATATAAGAGGGGAGGGGATTCTTTTTTCCCTAACATATAAGTCCTATGATCATACATAGAATTGTTGTGTGTATATAATGGGTGTGTGAATGTTTGCCTGTTTGGTAATTGTGTCTGTCGGTGTGTGTGTGTGTGTGTTTGAAAGCAGAAATCAGAGTGGTCAAAACTACAGTGTCCAAGGAGATAATAACAAACCTTTCTACTCTTTAGGGCCATTCATACAATTTACAAAGCATATTTTATACTTTTCTAAAAATAAAGTAATAATATTTTTATTCGAGTGTATAAATATCATATTAAGATGATATGAAGACATATTTCTAAAATGAATTAATATAAATTGTGTTAATAAGTCGAGTGAATGGGTTACAGGTTGAAAAGTCAAGTCTTAGCAACCAAGCATAGCATGATCCAGGCCTTGTGAATCCCATTATTCCAGTACATTTTATTTTGGATTAATTAGATTTACCTAACGTATAGAGACTAGCGCTGTAATTTAGTTTGTGGATTCCTATCGTTAACCTCGCCAAAGCTTTGTCTGATCTGATTAAAAAAATTAAATACCATGATTTCTCTTTATAAATAGTTATTTTCAAATCTGAAAAAGAGATTGTGGTCTGTGGTTTGCTAGTGTGCTACAGAATATCAATTGCATAAATTGTTATAATTTAACAGTTTTTAAACTATAAAATTGACGATACCTTTCACACAAATTAATGAGATAAAGGTTTAATGAATATAGTTCTAATTGTGAATGAAAGGTGACTTGAAGTTAAATTTAAGAAGATGATAAATGTAGATTTATCTGTATATAGTATAACCTACAGGGTGTCCCCCGAAACATGACAGTTGCTGAATAGTTTAAAATGTCTTCTTCCATAATTTGATAAGTTGTTTGATACTAAAGAGACTAATACCATTTTTTATGTGACAGTTAATTATAGCAAAATTGATTTCACAGTAAAATATATATATATATGACTTAAACAGTTTTAAAGAAATAAACTGCAAAAAGCCTTCAATATATAAAACAGTAAATGGAAGAAGACATTCAAAACTGTTTACCAACTCTCATGTTTCGTGGGACACCTTGTATATGAGTAATGCATTTGTAATATTATAACCTCATTAACGACGACCCTGTGTTAAGAACAATGCGATAATGCCGCTGAAAGTTTTTAGTCACGATATTTCATACATAGGACATTCCAAAGAAGACATTTCATAGACAAGAGATTTCATAGACAAAAATTTTTTAGAAAGACATTTTTAGACAAGACATTTTTTGACAAGAGATTTGTTACACCAGACATTTTTTAGACAAGACATTTTAAGACAAGTCATTATTTAAACAAGACATTTTTAAACAAGTCATTTTTTAGACAGGACATTTTTTGACAGGAAATTTGCTAGACCAGACATTTTTTAGACAAGAAATGTTTAGACAACTCATTCCGAACAAATAACATGTTTTAGACAAGACGGTATACATTTTTCGCTAGATAGTAAGTATACGTAATTTTTAAAATATACCTTTTTCGCTAAGTATATGTTTTTGTAAAGTAAACGTTTTTTGCTAAATATATGTTATTTGCAAAATATACGATTTTTGCCAAGTGTACATTCTTCGCTAAGTATACATTCGTTGTAAAGTCTACGTTTTTTGCAAAGTCATCTTCTTTACAAAGTATACCTTCTTTGTAAAGTCTACTTTTTTCATAAAGTCCATGCTCTTCACAAAGTATATATTCTTTGTAAAGTCTACATTTGTTCATAAATTCTACATTCTTCATAAAGTCTACATTCTTCATAAACTCTACGTTTTTCATAAAGTCTACGTTCTTTGTAAAGTAGACGTTCTTAACAAAGTCTACCTTTTTTGTAAAGTCTACGTTCTACGTAAAATCTCTACATTCCAAGGATGTAAGGCAAGGAAAGTCATTTCAGAAGTGTACACATCTTTAGTACTGCAGTGTACTGTCTCTGGGCGCTAATGTAAACACAAGACGGATGTCGAAGCCTGACATGGGATCCATCATTCACATAAAAAATCAATAAAATATTCTGGTCATAGGAAATTATTATGTGAATTATCAAAATTATCAAAATTTAATGCTTTTAACCTCCTCGGATACTAAACGAACACTGATGCATCTATTATTGTTTACAAATTCCGCCCAGAGAGAACTGGTTTCAATATGTACACAGAGTATACACAACCGCAATTGACTTTCCTTGCCTTACATTCTTGCTACATTCTTTGTTTACATAAATATTGTTATTTTGACCTTAAAAATAATTATCAGATAAAGAAGGCATGTTTGCAGAAGAATGTTAGGTGGAGGATCTAGCTGTGAGTGAAGATGGTTAGAAGGAAGACAACCCCTCCTGACCAGGGTGTGACAGTATCTTGTCTACCCTGGGTTGGTATCTGGACTCTTCTATCCTTAACTCTCTGCCTTCCTGTCATTCTTGGTAAACTATTTCTGCTTTTTTTAGATTTAAAATTAATTTATTTTATCCTTTTTTTCGTAGGAAATAGAGTAATAATCAACATCGATGGAAATTGGAGGTAAAATTATCTAAAATAACTTAAGAAAAATATAATAAATCTTGACTAAATTTAATAAAATCGTAAATATATATTTTTCAGTCCCTGGTCTACTATGTCCTCCTCCTGTAATGCCTCGTGTGGAGGAGGGGTGTTAACTAAAGTTAGATCATGTACTAACCCTAGACCACAGGTAAACTATTTACTAATCATGTACTAACCCTAGACCCCTGTAAACTATTTACTAATCATGTACTAACCCTAGACCCCAGGTAAACTATTTACTAATCATGTACCAACCCTAGACCCCTGTAAACTATTTACTAATCATGTACTAACCCTAGACCCCAGGTAAACTATTTACTAATCATGTACCAGGTAAACTACTAACTAATCATGTACTAACCCTAGACCCCAGGTAAACTATTTACTAATCATATACTAACCCTAGACCCCAGGTAAACTATTAACTAATCATGTACTAACCCTAGACCCCAGGTAAACTATTAACTAATCATGTACTAACCCTAGACCCCAGGTAAACTACTAACTAATCATGTACTAATCCTAGACCCCAGGTAAACTACTAACTAATCATGTACTAACCCTAGACCCCAGGTAAACTATTAACTAATCATGTACTAACCCTAGACCCCATGTAAACTATTAACTAATCATGTACTAACCCAAGACCCCAGGTAAACTATTAACTAATCATGTACTAACCCTAGACCCCAGGTAAACTATTTACTAATCATATACTAACCCTAGACCCCAGGTAAACTACTAACTAATCATGTACTAACCCTAGACCCCAGGTAAACTATTAACTAATCATGTACTAACCCTAGACCCCAGGTAAACTATTAGCTAATCATGTACTAACCCTAGACCCCAGGTAAACTATTTACTAATCATGTACTAACCCTAGACCCCAGGTAAACCATTAACTATAAGGGATTGGATGGAAAGGAGTGTACTGATGATATATTTGAATATATCTAGGGATTGGATGGAAAGGATTGTACTGATGATATATTTGAATATATCTAGGGATTGGATGGAAAGGATTGTACTGATGATATATTTGAATATATTCAGGGATTGGATGGAAAGGATTGTACTGGGGAGAAAGAGCAGTATTTTCCTTGTAACGAAGAGCCCTGTGATATGCAGGTTAATATTACAGATTTGTGAACAGAGCCCGTGATTTAAAAACTTCGGCTCGAGTCGTAATTCCTAAAATCCGACCTTAAGACCCAATCTTCGACCCAAATCTGACGACAGCTTGTGTCACGTGATGTACAGTTGAATGATCTTCGGGTCGACTTAAGGAGTTAGACCCAATGAAAATAAAATCGACCGGTTTTTTTAACTTAACTCTGTAGAAAATAAGATGCAGCTTGAATCCGAAAGCTCAAGCTGCAACAAAAAAGGCCCAACGACAGCTTAGAATCGAGCCGTATTTTTCCGATTTTTTAATCGCCGGCTCAGGCTTGCCATTTTTCTGGATCAATTTGGTTTCGAAAAGGCCTTACGATACCGTTCGTAAAGCTGCTATTGTGTAACTTTAATTGTGACCCTCCATGCGAAAATGGCAATGTCCGCTTACAATGGTGCCTTGAAAGGTTTTTCTGATCAAGGGTGCACTTGTTATTGATTTATATTGATTTTATATATATATTTTATATATTTATTTGATTGTGATTTCGAAAACTTATAATTTTCAATTGTGGGTTCTCTACAAATATGACTTGTGCATCTGTAGTGTAGGAAAACGTATGAATTATCAGAATTTAACACTTTTAAGCCTAGAAAAACGATAATATATTCCACATTATTGATCAGACAAAGTTTTCAAGGGTTGTGAATCAGACAAAGCCGTATTGACATGTCTTGTGTGTCACTTGAAATTATGCTTACAGTCCAGCTGTAACAGCTGCAGGAAATTATGCTTACAGTCCAGCTGTAACAGCTGCAGGAAAGGTTCTGAAAGACTACTGATCCTGGAAAAGGATTGGAAACCATATTTATCCAGAACGGAAAAACTTTAATGTCGGCCTCATAATCTGATGTCTCATTCTTTGTGGGTAACCTTGTATTTTAGTCTAAAACCAGGGGGAAAACATTTTTAAATATCACATCCATTTTTAAAAAGCTGTTTCATTTTTAAAAAGCAACAATTTTCACTAAATCCCGCAAATCTGAAGTCTTTTTTTAGTAAAAACTAGCTGTTTAAAAAGTAATAAAATTTACACATTTAAATTTCATTGATTCTAATTTTCTAATTATTCATTTATTTTTAACAATAGACTTTTTGGACCCTGACAATTTGATTCTAAAAAAATATTGTTTCTTTTTTTTACTACAGTGGTCTACATGGTCAGAATGCAGTGCTAACTGTGGACGAGGAATGGTTATCAGATTCACCCAATGTGCAAAGTAACCATTTTTCTTTAAAATAATATTTTTTATACAGAGTGTCCCACATCATATTAGATTATCTCCAAGTTTTAACGCTATGATAAAACCTTAATACTTATATTAGTCTTATTCAATTTTTCAAAATGATTCTTTTTTCTTAAATTTTCTGATTAGTCCCGAAAATCGTAATTTAGACTGGTTGACGATATAACATGATGTGGTACACCCTGTATCTTAACAATCTTGTAATTCTAAACGTTTCATTGTAAAAAAAATTACTAAGGTAGATTTTGCAATACAAAAACTTCCTTGGACTGAAACAAAATATCCCTAAAGATGCTGCAATTTGAAACTAAAATTTATGTTTAAAAAACGGGTCTTTAACAGTTGAAGAGTTGTTTCAGTTGCAAAAACTCCACGCTGCATTTTCAAAGTAAAGACGACAGTTACTAAATCGTCTTTTACATTCAGAGTGAGAAATGGTCCGCTGTCTAAATGCGAAGGAGATCAGTATTTTACTCACACCAAGAACTGTAATAGCTGGAATAAAAAGACGTGCCCGAGCCCTTGTGAAGGATACGAATGTATGGATTTTGGAGCCTGCAAGGTACTTTTTCTCAAATTTTGACACTCACGGAAAAACGAACCAAAAAAATGGCGTGTTTAAAAGATTGTTTTTGTTTCCTTTTTTTTATTTTTTCTCTTAGGCTAGAATTATTGCAATTTGAAACATTAAAAAGAAACAGAATTTTTTTTTTTTAAATGTTGGAATTTTTATTAAAAGTCAAAACAAAAATTTAGTCGATTAACAATTCTGCTGCAAGGATGTGAGCACAGACGAGGATCCAGCAGCGGTTTGTGAATGTCAGATGGGGAAGATCTTCTCTGATACAGGTATAGAATACTAGGCTTTCAGGATACCCATCTTATATTTTAATTGTGAACATGTTCTCTTTTTTTTTTTTACATATTTATTTTTAAATTTTAAAAATCGAATTTTGTTGGAGGCTAACTATTGAAATATCTTTTAATTGTCAGAAAATGTTTTGAATTTTTTAAACTCTCTGGATATCTTTGCACTGTCTTTAACATAACTATAATACAGGGTGTCCCAGTATACATAGGAATTAAATAACAATTTCTTTATTGTCTTCGTTCACTGAAGGATTATTTAGTAAAGATATAGTTTGTAGCATCACAATAAACATTTAACACCGAAAACTACTAGTGTCGGGATTTCAAAAATGTGGTCTACCATTTTTATACCTGAAATATTGACAGAGATTTTAGAACATTGGCCCCGATTATAGTTAATTAAAAATCCACAAACTGATCAAATGTTTAATATCTTCGACAATTTTAAAGATACAAAGAAAGTGAACCACAACTTGGAAAGCTCAGAAGCCTTTCGGTCTTTCCTTGATTTGTATTCTGTCATTTATCAATTATCAGAAATCAAAGACGATATTCAAGTCGTCTCTCAGTTCCCATGTTTATCTGAAGTGAGGACTAGAAAACTGTGGAATAGGAAGACGAAATTAAAGTGTCTGTGTATTTGATGTTGTTTTAAAGCAACTAGCTTTACTAGTAACTTAAATAAGAGATTTGTCCCAGGACATGATCGGGTTGTTACGATCAAATCTCGGAATTTTTCTATTGCGAAAGTTTGGTGTTGTCTGGGTTTTTATTGATCTACCCGGGGTTGTAATCTGGTAGTACATGCATCCATCCAGGCTTCATTCATATTGAGAAGAGGGTTGACAAGATTCCAGCTGCCTATGGGCTTCTTAAGCCTGAGAATAGTAGAGTTAAGGAATTCTTCTGATATACTGAAAACAGGCAGGAAACATCACACTCATTGCTCCCAATCATTTGTAAGCCCGGATTGGATACCTCAAGGTACCTGGTACTATAGCTATAAAGTAACTTATAGAATTACTTATTCAGTGAAACAGGCTCTGTTTACACTGCACAATCGCTGAGCTTCGTGTTTATTGGACTGTGTATAGACATAATTTGAGCCTAAAAGTCGTCTTCATATACCAGAGATTTCCTGTTCTAACTGTATGTATACAGGACTTGAATGTGTTGACCCACCCCCAGCTACCCCGACCCCTCGACCTATTCCTACAATGGCTCCTGCTGTAAAGACCGTGAGTACAGGGATGTCCAAGTCTGCGTCCACAATACTCATCATTTTTGTGGGAATCACACTGGCCCTGTTTGCAGCTCTTAGAGTATTTGATCCTGCCAGGTAAGTCTTCAAAAACAACTGCTAATTTAGTAACAAAATGTCTTACTTTACTTTAAAATCTTACAATTCATGATTCTTTGTTTATTTTAAACACTTTGTGGTCTTACCTGAAGGGGAGTTTGTCTCAAACTTGTTTTGTAAGAAAAGGCAAAAATATGAAGAGGACATCGATTACTGTTGGAAACAATACAGTTTAGCCCAGAGATATTAAAAGAACTTATAAAGTGTCGTTTTTTAACATGCTAATAATGGCGTATTTCAGATATTTTATTTCGTATTATGATTGTAATTATATTGGGCTCTTCAAAATTGTTTCTGCAAATTTCATGGCTATTCATTTGTTTAAACAATTACTGAAATTTAGGTATAATAGTTTAAAACCCATTGCAAAATTTTCAAGACGACATTTTAGAAATTTGTTGGATGTTTCCGAAGTTCTGGTAAACTGTTTATACTATGCATTTTTGCCAATCAAAAGAGAATCTAAAAGCCTTACCTTTTATAACTTAAAATAAATAAAAAATGTTAAGTTAAGAAATTAACACTTTTGTTATATAAAAGCATGAAAAGCAATGACAATCAAATGTTGTTTTGTTAGATAGAAAATAAAAGATAAAAAAATTGATAATAATAATTACCCAGAAAAGATGAAACCTTCAGAGACGACAGTACGAAATACGGATTATTTGAATATTTTTTCATACATTCGCAATGTTTAATATCCACCTAGTAAATTAAAGACAGATGAGTGATGACCAAAATTAACCTATATATTGTTATATTTAAAAGTGTTTGTGGTCGTCATTATCAAGTCTCATCCTTTCTTGGAAACCATGTGAATTCTGTGAGAAACTTAAAAAAATTCACTAAATTTTGAAGAATGCTTAACATTATGTTTTCTCAGGGTAATTCAAATGAACATGGAGATATCTCTGATCATGGCTCATCTTGTTTATCTTATACCGGCGGATTACTCTATGGTAAATATTTTAATTCATGTTGTATAATTAACGAAACTTGACTGTAGCAAGACGAATTGAAAGTCTTCTTTGATCTTTCGTTCAAAATTCAATGTTATTAATTAAATAAACAATTGTCTAAAGCTGCGCGAAATTTTTCATATCTAGCTACGGTGATATCGAAAGCAAAAAAAAAGGCAGACCACACTTTTAAATGCCAAGACCAGGGTAACTTCTGAGTATTAACTCTAGAATGTTAATACCATTATTAGGTTTACGAATAAATTCCGCAAATTAATTAAAAGATCAAAGACGACCTTCAAGTCTACTTGTTACTGTCATGTTTCGTGGAACACCTTGTAGCTGATTATGAAAAATTAAAGTGGAATTCATTCGTTCTATCCAGCGAAAAAATCTCTGCCTGTTTTGAGAACAGGCAGAGATTTTTTCGCAAAGCTCTAAACTTTAAATTGACAAATTATACATTTGTGAGATTGTCATAAAAAAATGATAAAAATTTCTTACGAAATTATCATTCAACAGTAAAGTAATCAATTGATTACAAATAAAACAATTTTATTCTATAAAAACTTGTTTAATACAGTAACATCTATAATACAATGGAATAGGAAGACGACATTTAAACAATATTACGTGATTTTAATGTTAATTTTAAGCAAACATTGCAGTTTATTGTTCAGTAAAACAATTGCCTTCCTATTCCACAGATTATGGGTCCCCATTCCCAGTGTATACGTTCTATTTTATAGTTTATTCTTGGAATTTATTAGATTTGGTTTTGTCGAATGATTTCTATTCTGATTCACATGTTCTACACAACTACATTCGTCTTCATGTTCCTAGAAGCTCTACACACATACAGGTTACAGGAATACATTATAATAAAATGTTACATACATGCATACAGGTTAAAGGAATACATTATAATAAACTGTTACATACCATACAGGTTACAAGAATACATTATAATAAACTGTTACACACATACAGGTTACAGGAATACATTATAATAAACTGTTACATACATACAGGTTACAGGAATACATTATAATAAACTGTTACACACATACAGGTTACAGGAATACATTATAATAAACTGTTACACACATACAGGTTACAGGAATACATTATAATAAACTGTTACATACATGCATACAGGTTACAGGAATACATTATAATAAAATGTTACATGCATGCATACAGGTTACAGGAATACATTATAATAAAATAATACATACATGCATACAGGTTACAGGAATACATTAATAAACTGTTACACACATACAGGTTACAGGAATACATTATAATAAAATGTTACATACATGCATACAGGTTACAGGAATACATTATAATAAAATGTTACATACCATACAGGTTACAAGAATACATTATAATAAACTGTTACACACATACAGGTTACAGGAATACATTATAATAAAATACATACATGCATACAGGTTACAGGAATACATTATAATAAAATGTTACATGCATGCATACAGGTTACAGGAATACATTATAATAAAATAATACATACATGCATACAGGTTACAGGAATACATTAATAAACTGTTACATACATGCAGGTTACAGGAATACATTATAATAAAATGTTACATACATGCATACAGGTTACATGAATACATTATAATAAAATGTTACATAAATGCATACAGGTTACAGGAATACATCATAATAAAATAATACATACATGCATACAGGTTACAGGAATACATTATAATAAAATGTTACATACATGCATACAGGTTACAGGAATACATTATAATAATGTTACATACATGCATACAGGTTACAGGAATACATTATAATAAAATGTTACATACATGCATACAGGTTACAGGAATACATTATAATAAACTGTTACACACATGCAGGTTACAGAAATACATTATAATAAAATAATACATAAATACAGGTTACATGAATACATTATAATAAAATTATACATAAATACAGGTTGCAGGAATACTATTTACTAAACTGTTACATACACACAGGTTGCAGGAATACATTTTTCTAAACTGTTACATACATACAGGTTACAGGAATACATTTTACTAAACTGTTACATACATACAGGTCACAGGAATACATTTTACAAAACTGTCACATACCATACAGGTTACAGGAATACATTTTTCTAAACTGTTACATACATTCAGGTTAAGGAAAACATTTTTCTAAACTGTTACACGTTAAAGGAATACATATTAATAAACTGTTTCATATATACAGGTTACAGGAATACATTTGATTTAAATGTTACATACATACAGGTTACATTAATACATTGCAAAAAACTGTTACATATAGGTTACAGGCATACATTTAACCAAATTACGGTTAAGGAATACATTTAACTAAACTGTTACACACATAAAGGTCACAGGAATACATTTTACTAAACTATTACATACATACAGGTTACAGGAATACATTTTACTAAACTGTTACATACATAAAGGTTACAGGAATACATTTTACTAAACTGTTACATACATACAGGTTACAAGAATACATTTAACCAAATTATTACAGGTTAAGGAATACATTTTACTAAACTGTTACACACATAAAGGTTATAGGAATACATTTTACTAAACTGTTACATACATACAGGTTACAAGAATACATTTAACACAGGTTAAGGAATACATTTTACTAAACTGTTACATACATATAGGTTACAGGAATACATTTTAGTACACTGTTACACACATATACTGGTTATGTACATTGTACAGTGGAACCCATATAACTGTGAAATTGGAATTAATGTAAATGGTTTTGTGTACACTGCTCCAATTGCTGTTTTTTGCTCATTGGGCAATTTAAAGTCATACATTCTGTCGTATTTTTATAATTCACACTGGTATGGGTCTCATAACTTAATATACAATGGAAGTTTTTCAAAAACAAACAAAAAACAATTCCTAAATTTTTTGTTTAGTTTGGTGGCGTTTGTCGTGAAGAAGGACGGTATGATGACCCGTAAACAGAATGTGTTGACCGGGTGGGGAACTGGTATAGGGGTTACATTTATTGTAGTTTCGCTTCAATATAAGAACTATGGAGGTATTTATAGAATCTATTAGGTGAACTGTGACTTGAAAATTGAAACATTAAAAATTAACCCAAATAGCCTTTAATCCTTTCACTATTTATATGGGGGGGGGTACCCCCACAACCCCTCCCTTGTGGTTTTTTATCAATAACTTAACAGCTTTTCCATGCATAGAGTATGGTAGAGGACGGTTAAACGACTAAAATAGTATATAACTTTTAATTTTTGAGATCTAGATCCAAAATTTACTTATTTTAAAAGACCTTATAGGCCTGAACAATGACAGTAATTCATGTGCCACATGTCAATATTTTTAAAAATGAAAGTGAACATCTTTTTTTCGGACGCACTTTTTAAATTTTTAAACCACCTGTTTTAATAAGAAAAAAGCACGTGTATATTGTAATAACCAGAGTCAGGGGCGTATTCAGGAATTTGTCCAGGGGGGCTTAAATTTTTTTCTTTCTAGGAGTGGGCTCAGCACTCGTTGGAGCCTGAAAACCCCCTGAAATCAATAGATTTCACTGGTCCAGGGGGGCTTAGTCCCAATAGCCCCCCCCTCCTGAGCTGAATACGCCTCTGACTAGAATAAAGTGGATTCAAGTCTAGCTGATATTTTTAGTTGTTTTTGTTCAAATTTTTAAGACCTTCGTCTTTTTCCTCCAATTCGAAGACAACTAAAACGAATTTGATTGCGTTTTAATTATTGTTATATCAATAAAAATACATGAATTCATGTTAAGGCGAATATCATTGTTGGCTACAGATGGACACACCACTCATGATTGGTAAGTTGGAATGATTTTGTTTTCATACAGGGTGTCCCAAAAAACATGGGAATTCAGTGACGAATTCGATATCGTCTTTGTTATGAATTAGCATTGTAATACCTAATTTCAAAAGCCGTAATATTAATATTATGTCTGCTCGAGTTTATTTAATGAAAAGGGTAAAAGACTGAAAAGATGTGTCTATAATGTCTCCGCAAGATGAACAGTGAATATGGACAAGTTTACTCTGTTTGTATACTGTAATTTTCTTGTTTTACTAAGTACAACCGGTTGCAGTCAAAACATAAACAAACAAAATGTAAACATAGCAGACGAAACTCTTACAGATTACAGCTTTCTCAGTAGGTATAACTATACTAAATCAAAGAATTATTCATACAGACGATATCGAATTCGTCATTGAATTCCCATGTTTTTTGGGACACCCTGTACCGTTAGAACACTTTAAAAGACACGAAAATGTAAAGAAGTAAGACGACATTTAAAAGCACGTTTACCGAAGGAGAAAAGCATCCACTATAAAAGATTATCACGTGTAAAATCGCCAAGGAATCTTGGCGAATGGGGAAAACATTTAAAGTGACTGTCCTCTAAATTATACGATATCCTGTAAAAGAAATTGTGTTTGATATTAAATGACACTCTTTAATGAGATTAAATAGAATAAAATGAATAAAATTGATAAAATGCAGTGGTCGGTGGTTACATCAATACAATGAAGACTGTTTCTTTATTAAGAATGCTCTGATACCTTACAAGCATTTTTCAATGTAGACGTTTAATAGTAAACTAAAGAAGATGTTTATTGACATCTTCTCTTTGTTTAAATGCTAGAGCGTTTCTGCTGTTTGAAATCTTGATTGTAATCAAAATTAATATATAGAGTCGTCTTTATTGTATTGATATATACGAGGACAACTGCATGTAGAATATATTTAGGATTTCGAGTTTTTTCAAGATTCCATGTGACCCGATTTAATTCATATTGATCCATTTATGAAATGCAAAGACTTAGTTGAACCGATTTGTTTGTGGTTGACCCAGAAAGAAAAAATGGCTCAATTTAATCTCCGTGGTTTTCTACCAATGTCTTGCATGCTTTTTATTAAACCTGCCGTAATTTCACTCTTATCATTAATTACACAGGGCTACCCAAAAAAGCACAACTTAAAATTCTTAAGATATGACAATTCCAAGATTAAATTAAGTTTTTTTTGCCGTGAATCCTGAATATAGCATTTTTATTGGCTTATTTAATTATTTGGCAAAGAAAACAATAAGTTTACAGTTGAGTTGTATCACAAATATATGATATAATAGTCAGTATAAGTTCAGTACAGTCGTCTTTGAAGTCTCATCCTTTAACTAAAAAATCTGATTATGTTTAGCTCAATATGTTCCAATAATAACCCTGGTTGTCCTCACTCTCACCCTGATAGAAGCAGCCGGAGCTGCTGATTATAGGAAGCTGCCTGGCATAGATCAGAAGCAGCAAACATCAGCTAAAATCATGCAGGTTGGAAAAGGGAATTATTTAGAAAAAGTGTATGTATAGTGTAGCTTCATATAAATAAAGAAATTGATAGATTGTTTATTAGGCAACTTTAAACTCTGGTTAATTTCAAGTACCGGGCCGACTTTTAAGGAGCTTCAGCAATTGCTGTACAGTACACATACAGACTGTATAAGGCAAAGCGGGACAGTACACCAAATGAATCAGCCCTTTCTCGGGATATTCTAATTAGGAACAAACGTTGACTTTAAAAGCGTTTTCTTATCTATAAAATTAAACATGAGAAGTGACGACTTTTAAATCGTCTTCGATCTACACATCATATTTTTCAAAATTAAGGCTCCGTGAACAAAGTTTTAAATAATTCAAAATTCAATTTTCAACCAGTTTTCCAATCTATTGAGCATATTCTAGAGATATAATCTAATATTGAGCATATTCTAAAGATATAATCTAATATTGATCATATTCTAGAGATCTGATCTAATCTAATATTGATCACATTCCACAGATCTAAAATAATTTAATATTGATCATATTCTAGAGATCTAATTTGATATTGATCATATTCTAGAGATTTAATTTAATAATGATTATATTCTAGAGATCTAATCTATATTGATCCTATTCTAGAGATCTAATTTGATATTAATCAATGATTATAATCTAGAAATCTATTCTAATAATGATCATTGATCATATTCTAGAGATCTAATCTAATAATAATGCCGATGGTTCTCTTCTCATTCATCATCGGAACTATGGCTGAGTATGAACAGGTATCAGCTCATAACTATTTTTAAAATGATTGTTAACTTATTCTTAACTGGCTTTTCACTGATAGAATACTATTTATGTTATATTTATATCGTTATCTTAAAGAAAAAACTGTTATTTTACAAGAAAATGAAAATTTACAGGACAACAATTTAATATTGTTGAAAGATGTACGTTTTATTTCTTAAATGGGATTAAATATATAGGGTTACCCACAAAGGATGAGACGCTAAAGACGACCCAAAACTATAAAAATACGACGATTTAAATTTTAAATTTTAAATTTTCTGCATTCAATTGCGTATTTTAATAAATTATTTAATTAGCACAGAAATACACCAGTTTTGGCTTATAACGAGGAACCCTGAATACAAGAAAATGAACTAAACAAATTCCGTACAATCTTCTCTGAAATCTTATCCTTTTCCTTTAAATAAATAATTCCGTACAATCTTCTCTGAAATCTTATCCTTATCCTTTAAATAAATAATTCCGTACAATCTTCTCTGAAATCTTATCCTTATCCTTTAAATAAATTGCCGAAATTGTGATTTCAAAGGTTTTAGCCCAATCTTATTATTTACGATAATGTATTCAATCATAATTAATAACAGTATTTGATACTTGAGTTGAACTTTTTAAGTAGAGATTCAATGATTTAAATTTTCCTATGTATAATAATTGTAAAAGTTGTATTAGTTTATACCCCTAACGTAGTTAAATTACGTTTAATCATCATTATTAAAATGTAAAATATATATTTTTATAATTTAAAAAACAAAATCTTTAAATTTCAGAATTTTGGATTATACGGAACGTTTACTTTAATCAATGGAATTCTTGGAGGATCAATTTTCTTTTTCCACTGTACAGGAAATGAAACGGTAAATATTCAGGATGCTGAACAGAGATGGGGGATACATGGATGCAGGAGTATAGGAGTAGGGATACAGGAGTAGAAGAATAAGGATTCAGGAGTATAGGAGTAAGGAATACAGGGATACAGAATTCTAGGAGTGGGGATGCACGAGTATATAAAGGAGAATAGTAGTAGGGATACAGGAGTATATGAGTAGGGATACAGGAGTATATGAGTAGAGATACAGGAGTATATGAGTAGAGATACAGGAGTATATGAGTAGAGATACAGGAGTATATGAGTAGGGATACAGGAGTATATAAATAGAGATACAGGAGTGTATGAGTAGAGATATAGGAGTATATGAGTAGAGATACAGGAGTATATGAGTAGGGATACAGGAGTATATGAGTAGATATACAGGAGTATATGAGTAGGGATACAGGAGTAAATGAGTAGATATAAAGGAGTATATGAGTAGAGATACAGGAGTATATGAGTAGAGATAAGGAGTATATGAGTAGAGATACAGCAGTATATGAGTAGAGATACAGGAGTATATAAGTAGGGATACAGGAGTATATGAGTAGAGATACAGCAGTATATGAGTAGAGAAACAGGAGTATATGAGTAGAGATACAGGAGTATATGAGTAGGGATACAGGAGTATATGAGTAGGGATACAGGATACAGAATTCTAGGAGTGGGGATGCACGAGTATATAAAGGAGAATAGTAGAGGGATACAGGAGTATATAAGTAGGGATACAGGAGTATATGAGTAGAGATACAGGAGTATATGAGTAGGGATACAGGAGTATATGAGTAGGGATATAGGAGTATAGGAGTAGGGATACAGGAGTATATGAGTAGAGATACAGCAGTATATGAGTAGAGATACAGGAGTATATGAGTAGGGATACAGAAGTATATGAGTAGGGATACAGGAGTATATGAGTAGAGATACAGGAGTATATGAGAGGGATACAGGAGTATATGAATAGAGATACAGGAGTGTATGAGTAGAGATATAGGAGTATATGAGTAGAGATACAGGAGTATATGAGTAGGGATACAGGAGTATATGAGTAGGGATACAGGAATATATAAGTAGGGATTCAGGAGTATATGAGTAGGGATACAGGAGTATATGAGTAGAGATACAGGAGTATATGAGTAGGGATACAGGAGTATATGAGTAGAGATACAGGAGTATATGAGTAGGGATACAGGAGTATATGAGTAGGGATACAGGAGTGTATAAGTAGAGATACAGGAGTATATGGGTAGGGATACAGGAGTATATGAGTAGAGACACAGAAGTATATGAGTAGGGATACAGGAGTATATGAGTAGGGATACAGGAGTATATGAGTAGGGATACAGGAGTATATGAATATTGATACAGGAGTATATGAGTAGAGATACAAGAGTAAATGAGTAGAGATACAGGAGTAGGAGTAGGGATACAGGAGTATATGAGTAGAGATACAGGAGTATAGGAGTAGGGATATAGGAGTATAAGAGTAGGGATACAGGAGTATATGAGTAGGGATACAGGAGTTTAGGAGTAGGGATATAGTAGTTTAGGAGTAGGGATACAGGAGTTAAAGAGTAGGGATATAGGATCGAGTATAGGAGTAGGGATACAGGAGAATAGGAGTAGGGATATAGGAGTATAGGAGTAGGGATACAGGAGAATAGGAGTAGGGATACAGGAGTATGGGAGTAGGGATACTGAAGTTAGGAGTACAGTACAGGGGGTAGGGGATTATAGGATTATTGGAGTAATTTTAATGTGTTTTTAAAAAATAAATTAAACAAACTTTTTCAGGTTCGAGCAAAACTAGTGAAAGCCTACAAAACAATAATTAAGAAGGAAAAATACTAAAATGACAAGTGATACTTTATATACAAAGTTTAAATATCACGATTATAAAGATTTTGTTTTCAAATTAGTTTTATCAGAACAAGATTGTTTTTGGTTATTATGAAAGTTTATTTTTATCGTAGGGCAGGCAGACAACCCTAGGTTCTTGTGTGATCTTGAAAATAAATAAATGTGTAAAATGTTATAAAAATATTCTCGCGTTGCTTTTATTTAACAAATAAAGTATTTATAAAGAACGGTGTTCATTATTTGTTGTGTCAACAAAAGTAAACTAAATGTCTCTCTCTAAGTGAAAAGTGATGTTGGGAAATTTTCAAGGAACAACTTTTTATCCTTGTTTTGTAAAAGGTAGAGTAAATTAATTGTAAAAAAGTTGTCCCGAAATTCTTACCTTTGTATTTTAGAAAAGGGAGAACCAGAAAACTCTGAAATAGAAAAAAGACTTTTAGATTCAAGTTATGACTTTAATTAGTGCAATGAGCACATCAATTGTGTAGTGTACACAGACCAATTTTACTTAATTAGTGCTTTAATAATTGTCTAGTAAAACTATTTGCTTTGTAACTGCATCAAATTCAATTAAGTATTGTTAAAAGTCGTCTTCCTATTTTAGAGTTTTCTGGTTATCACTGTATGAACAAATTGAACATGTTAAAAAATATTTTCACTTTATAATGGCTTCCATCCTATAAAATTAGCTCAAATCTTATTTTTTACTTTACGACTTGTTTTTAGCAATTTGAATTTGAACAATTTCAAACAGAGTTTATCATAAAACTTTTCAGGATTGTTTCTTAAATTATCTCCGAAACCCAAATCTTTTAAAACTTACAAAATGTTAAGGAAAAAAAGATATGAATGATGATTACGATTACATAAAATGATATATTTAGCGGGTTAACGTGTTTTAAAGAATGTTACATTAAAGAAATAGTTCTTTAATTTTTATTAACTTTGTTCGTAAACATCTAGATTGTATTCCAATAAATCTATTTCCTAATTCTATTTTATTTTATTAAGAAAACTTTCCCGTTTTCTTAATAAAAATGGTGAGAATAATAAAACTAACATACCAGAGTTAAGTGTGGGAAACGGCTGATTCAATAATTAATCCACCCCTATGCTCTACCCCTTCCATGGTATAGCGGTCTTTTTACCCCCCCCCCCTCCACTCCCCCGGTCCCACCGATCTTGATGTTCGGGAAAGTTATGTGTTGACCCGAACATATCGGTCAGCACAGTTTCCTGTCCGGTGCTCTGGTTGTATAAATTCTACATATATCATATTAATCCAACTAGTTTAATACAAATCATTCCCTTGAACACATATAACTAGAAAACTATTCTCTCCGATCTCAGGATTAATATAAAATGATGTCTCTGCAAGGTCTGATCCTGGTTTTGATCTGTATCTGTCGTATCTCAGGCTTCTCTTCCATCTGGTCCTTGTCCAACGCTATGCTTGCCAGCAGTCAGGTCAATGAGGCAGATCTAGCCCTTTCCCGTAGTGTAACCGCCGGGGCGGAGCTTGCCATGGCGGAGTGCACTGATCAGTTTAAGAATAATGTCTGGAACTGTCCCATATCCGCCTTTGACCGGAAAGAATCCGCCGAGAATAATCGCGAAACTGCGTTTGTCAACGCGATTATGAGCGCTGCTGTGACACATACAATTTCAAGAAATTGCTCAGAGGGCGGACTAACCCATTGTGGTTGCGAGAGGAACGGTGTGGTTAGCGGCGAATCCTGGGAATGGGGCGGCTGCTCCGACAATGTAGTGTTTGGTTCTCTTGTATCTAAACAGTTCCTTGACAAGTTGTCCAACGAACCTAAGACCCTGGCTAACATTCATAACAACGAGGCTGGTCGTGTAGCTGTTAAGAAGACGATGCGTCAGCTGTGTAAATGTCATGGTGTCTCCGGGTCCTGTGCTACACAGACCTGCTGGAGACAAATTGGAAACTTTAAAGAGGTGGGAACCTTTCTCAAGAAACAATACAACAAGGCCATGAAGGTTGATTACAGCAACGGTGTCCTTCTTAAACTCCAGAACTCTAAGATCCAATCCAACCGAGTAGAGAGGAACAGGAGAACTTCAGAGGCAGAGAAGGAATTAAACATTAAGAAGAGAAAACTTGTATTTCTCAAACCTTCTCCCAACTACTGCAGGATGAACCCTGAGCAAGGATACAAGGGTGTAATCGGAAGATCATGTATTGCTGATCCTAACTCTAGTAATCCAACCAAGGATATTCGAACCTGCTCCCAGCTGTGTCATGCTTGTGGATTATATGTTAAAAAACAAGTTGTAGACGTGACAACCTCCTGTAACTGTAAGTTTGAATGGTGCTGCAAGATCTCTTGTCAAACCTGTCATAAAAAGCAGATTATTATTACTTGTGTTGAAACACCACAGTATGATTACTCTTATATTGTTAGTAATAGTACCTAAACCTAAACTTCAAGATCTCCCTTACTTAAAGCATTGTATTCTTCCAGTTTAATTTATATTATATTGTAAAAAAATTATAAAATTCATTCAGTACAAAATCTTAATAAATATATATGTAATAATATTATTCGTTTCAATTAGAAAAAAAGGAAAGATTTTAGATTCGCCAGAAAATATAATTCCTAAATCTTTGCAACCTGATGTCGAAGACCTATGTTAAACTTTGGAATAACATGATAGATTAAGTAGGCTAAGTTGTCTCCAACATTAGTTTACAAATATTTATTCGTTAAAAACATCATAAAACATAGTTTAATTTAGGGACAAGCAGGTCAACCTAAAGTAAATTTCAGGTTAGATTGAAATCTTACATGTTTTAAATCATTACTCCTCATCTTAAAGAGCTATTGAGAAGAACAAAAATGTTATAAATTTCTATTATGTAACCGGATAAAATTAGTTTTTTTTTCATCAACCAAATTAGAGAGGCCAGGAGGTCACAAATTAGAGGATCTAGGAGGTCACAAATAAAGGGAGCTAGGAGGTCACAAATTAGAGGAGCTAGGAGGTCACAAATTAGAGGAGGTAGGAGGTCACAAATTAGAGGAGCTAGGAGGTCACAAATAGGAGGAGCTAGGAGGTCCCAAATTAGGGGAGCTAGGAGGTCACAAATTAGAGGAGCTAGGAGGTCACAAATTAAAGGATCTAGGAGGTCACAAATTAGAGGATCTAGGAGGTCACAAATAAGGGGAGCTAGGAGATCACAAATTAGAGGATGAAGGAGGTCACAAATTAGAGAAGCTAGGAGGTCTCAAATTAGAGGAGCAAGGAGGTCACAAATTAGAGGATCTAGGAGGTCACAAATAAGGGGAGCTAGGAGGTCACAAATTTGTATGAGTGATGTCACATAAGCTTTACTTCTTCTGTTTCTTTGCAGTGGGACATAGATGAACGACTCCTCTTCAACTTGAACATGTGAAATTTCTGAAGTGGTTCATTAAAGTCTATATTTCTGAAGTGGTTCATTAAAGTCTATATTTCTGAAGTGGTTCATTAAAGTCTATATTTCTGAAGTGGTTCATTAAAGTCTATATTTCTGAACTGGTTCATTAAAGTCTGTATTTCTGAAGTGGTTCATTAAAGTCTATATTTCTGAACTGGTTCATTAAAGTCTATAAAGTGTAACTACTTCTTATCAAATCTAACCAAAGGAAAAAGATATTTTAAAGTTGAATATGGTAGATATAACTAACATAAAATGTGTGTTTATTCATTATTGCAAGATCCCTTACGGCTCGTTCCGCCTTTTCGGAATATTTTTTATTTGCGGAGGAAAAGTTTATTTCATATTTAAAAACTTTTTTTACTACGGAATTAAGTCTTTGTCACACACCTAATTCTTTTCCAAACATAATTAGTTTTTTGAAATATCTAGGGTTTTCGACATTGGGTTACAAAAATATTAGGATTAGAAAATCAGAGTTTGTGGCAAAGAAACAATGTTGCTTTCGTGATACAAACCGGGTAAAAATCAATATTTTTTACTGGATATAAACCAAACGAAAAACTATAATATGATTCTAAAAAAAGTGTTGACAATTATTAGAAAAACTACAGAACTAAGTTATAATTTGAAACCGAGTGTGAAAGCCGAAAATTTGGGTGTTTAAAGAAGTGCGTTGTACTATAATCAGACTTTTACTTGCCAAAGGAGGACTTTTTTATGATTAAAAGCTTGTTTAAAAATCATCTTTTGTGTGATCGGCATCCAATGGGAATAGTTTTAATATATTCATCATTAAAATAAGCATTTCGTTGACAATTCAGAGATAATTAGTAAAGAACTTTCAAAATTTACCATTTTAGATTTCGATTTAGTGTATATTGTTTATATTTGTGTCACAATATGTTTAGTATTTGTTTCTTTTGAAATTATTTCTAATTGTTTGAGATAATATGGGGAGGGGGGGGCGCACCAGGGGTGAATTAAGATTTGCGTTTAAACTCTGATACGTTAATTTACAACTTTTTCACAGAATTTTCACATTTTATTGCCCCTAGGTTTACGTTGACAACTCGAAATAATAACCCCGCCTCCTAATATCCCTCCACATACCCCCCTTTCCACCTCCGCCTGTACTTCCCCTTCTACCCTTCATGTGAAAACCTCCCCCCTTTATATTGTAGTATTTACAACCCTTGTGTGTGTGTGTGGGGGTGGGGGGTATATTTGCGGCGTTGATATCTCTAATGCTCCCGCGCGTGCCTCTATTCCTCCCCAGCTATGTATACAGACCGGTAATACTAATTTCATGTTTCCTCTCCGTTTCTTTTAAACTAAAAACTTGTAGAAAACTATTTTTATTGTTTTTTTTTTTTCATTTTTTTTTCTCTGATTCAAATGTGACATTTTCAACAGAAAATAAAGGTGTTAATTTATGAGATTTAAATTTATTATTTTAATTTTTTAGCAAAGTTCAGAGTTTGAAATATCAAAGGTCTACGACATTAGGTTGCAAGGAAATAAACTGATTGGAAAATTAGATTTTGAGTTGAGTAATCAGTTTCTTTAGGTTGCAAAGAAATAAACTGATTGGAAAATTAGATTTTGAGTTGAGTAATCAGTTTCTTTACCTTGTCTTTAAGCTTAAAGATACTTATTCATTACTTTTTTTTACCTTTTTTTAAGTTTTAAGATTGAAAAAAAATCTTGTAAGATTTTTGCACAAGCTTATAAGCATAAGCTTGATCTTAAAAGGGTTCTATGCCTAGATAAATAGATAATTTATCTAGGGTTCTATGTTTCTACAAGCTTTAAAAATAGATTATTTCCCGTCAAATGTTTAAAGATAAAGACCATCTAAATTTGTTTTTGTGGTATTTCAATTAAGTGGAAAAAACTGTACCATATGATTGTTCAGTCCAGAAAATGTTGATGAAATGGGATGAGCTTAACAAATGTAAATGGTTTACTAAACAAACCGTCCTTTTTATTTATCAGGAAAATGATCTGAACAAGTATCTTTCAAACAATTTGTAAAGATAAATATTTCAAAGAAAAATTCTTTCTTAATTTAAAGAATTATCTAGAATGTTGTTAGCATGTTTTATTATTGCTTTTGTCAAAAATATGAAATAAAAACTTTGAAAAACTTTACAATGGGGTGTCTTGCTGCTGTAGATATCCAAGAATCATTATTTAAGTCAAATATAAAACATTAACTGTCCCCTAACCCCCCTCCCCCCCCTCGCCACTACCTCCGCCCAAAATATGGACAGTCACCTCCCCCCTCCCTTACA